AATGGAAGTTTCTTCAGGGTAGACAGAAGCTGTTTAAGCTTTGTCTTTGTATTCTAAGTATTTCCCACAGTCCTTTGCAACAGTACACATGATAGATGGCTGTTTGTATTGAATTAAATTTGGAGTAAAAGGATCTTGTATTGGACTCTCTTGCTTTTTACCTATGTGACCTTCTGCAAATCATCGAACCTCTCTTGGACCTCAGTTTTCTCATCTGGAAAACAAAGGGATTAGGCTGGAGGATCCCTGAGGTTCTGTAATCTGTGATCTGAACCCTTAAGCAAGGTGAACACTGACTGTACAGCAAATGATATGTGTGTGTGTGTGTGTGTGTGTGTGTGTGTGTGTGTGGGTGGGTGGGTGGGTGTGTATGTGTTTAATCTTACTAGATTTGTGTGAGAACTTGCATTCCCTAAAGTGTATTGGGTTAAATCAAGAAAGGAAGAGTTGGGGGAGGGGGAAGGGACAACTAGTTAGTTTATTAATAATAATAGTAGAAGTAATAGCAGCAGTAATAATTGTAGTAGAAGTCGTAGTAGTAGTAGTAATAGCAATACTAATAGTTGTAGTTTTAGTAGCAAAAGTAGTAATTGTAATAGTGGAAGTAGTAGTAGTTGTAGTAGTAGTAGAAATAGTAGTAGTAGCAATAGTAGTAATTGTAGTAATAGTAGTAGTATTAGAAGTGGTAGTAATTGTAGTAGTAGTAGTAGTAGTAGTAATAATAATAATAATAATAGCAAGAATTGATATAATGTTTTAAGGCTTTCAAACTTTGTGTGTGTAATCTCACTTGAGCCTAAGAATCTCTCTGTGAAGTGGGTGCTATTACTATTCCCATTTTACAGATGAGGAAACTGAGGCTGAGTGAGGTTAAGTTACTTGTTCTAGGTTGTACAACTATTTCTCTCGTAAGTATCTGAGACAGGATTCAAATGCAGGTCATCCTGACACCAAGTCCTGTCTACCTTGGCACTTATCCTTCTGTGAGTGGTTTAAAAAAAAAATGAGATACAGGGAATGTGACACAGTCTAACCTCCAAGAGCCATTTAGCTGCTCTGGCAGTTTTCCAGATTACTGCCTCTCCCCCCCCCCCCATACACACCCATGCCCTACCACTTGTAACTAATGGGACAAAACTGGAATCATTCACTAGGTGGAGGGATGATCAGTACTAGGAGTCTACTAAGCTATCCCAGCTGAGTCACTCAACAACAATCCTCACCTAAGGTACGAGTATAAATTTGGGGCAGGGTAGCAAAGTAGACCAAAGAAAATGACATCTCAGTTGGTCTCTATGCTTTTTGACATTGGCTGGTGCCCAGATATCATTGCAATCTGAGACAGAAGACCAATGTGAACGGGACAAGTGCCTGTAGCTAATGAAAGGTTGGATCAGGAGTCTGGATCAGGATGCAGCAAGGGCAGAGGCAATTCACTCCGCGCTCTGAAGAAAGAGGCCACAGGCAAGGACTCAACAATTCAACAGCTATAAATTAAGTGTTTACTATGTACAGAGCATTGTTGTTGGGACTGGGGGAGATACAAAGTTCAAATAAGCCACAGTCCTTTCAGGTTCTAAATCTATGATCCTATCAATTAGCCCTTCAGAGACTAGTTTGAGGAGATCTGCATATATTTTAGGCAAATGGAAAAGCATCATCATGGAGGGAAAGATGGAAGATGGATATAGATGATGCAATAGAATGTAAGACTTGGAGTCAAGAAAATCTGAGTTCAAATCCTACCTTAGACATTCTCTAGCTGTGTAACCCCAGGCAAGTCATGTAACTTCTCTGTGCCTCAGTTTCCTCATCTGTAAAATCTAGATAATAATGGCACCTACCTCCTGTGACATTTGTGGTGTCAAATATAAAGTGCTTTGCAAACCTTAAAGCACTATATAAATGCTAACTATTAAGTGCTAGCTCTTATTACCTGTCTGACCACTCCTCAGTCTCCTTTGCTGGATCTTCCTTCAGGTCTGGCTCTGTTCTGAACCTTTTTCTCTTCAACTCCCATGAGTTCAATGATCATTTCTATGCAGATGATTCTCAGAACTATTTATCAAGCCCTAATCACTTTCATGACCTCATGTCTCCCATTACCAACCACCTAAATATCTTAAACTGGATATCCCATAAATATCTCAAACTCAACGTGTCCAAAGCAAAACTCATTCTCTTTCCTCCAAAACCCTTTCCTCTTCTCAATTTCCTTATTAATTTTAAAGGCATTAACATCTTTCCCCATTGCCCAGGCTCACAACTCCAGTATCATCCTTTACACCTCACTCGTATTCATCCTGCATATACAGTCTCTTGCCAAGTCTTATCATTTCTACCTTCCCAACATCTCCCCTTCTTTCTACCCACGCAACTACAACTGTGGTGTAGGCCCCCATCCCCCCATGCCTGGACTATTGAAATAGCCTTCTCCCTGGTCTCCTGGCCTCGACTTGCTCCACATGCCAGACCTTCGTCCACTCAACCAACAAAGTGATTTTCCTAAAGCACAGGTCTGACCACGTCACCCCTTCCTTCTCCGTTCAACAAACTCCAGTGATTCCCTATTACTTCTAGATTCAAATATAAAAATCCTCTGATCTTTAAAGCCGTTTACAACTGGGACCTCCCGACCTTTCTCACTTTCACACACTTTACTCTTCTCTACATAACCTACAGTGAAGCGGTGCTGGCCTTCTTGCCAATTCTTGCACACGACACTCCAACTCCTGATTCTAGTCTTTTTTGTTTACCACCTGTCCCTCATACTTGGAATGTTCTCCCTCCTTACTTCCACCACCTGATTTCCCAGGCTTCCTGTAAGACTTGGCTCAAATCCCACCAGCAAGTGTCCTTTCCAATCCTACCACAGTGCTTTCCTTCCCAATCCCATTTACATTATAAATTTTCTATGCACATATCTGCCAATTGTTTATATGAAGACTAGTGCTCTGTAAAATGAATTGGTTTAATTCAAGAAAGGTGTGAAAGGAAAAGTTTGAGTGGCAATGGATTAATTATTATTATTATTATTATTATTATTATTACTGTTATTACCATTATTAATAGTAGCATTGTTTACCTTATTAGAGTGTGAGCTCCTTGAGGACAGGGGCCGTATTTTTGCCTTTCTTTGCATTTCCAAAATTAAGCATAGTGCCTGGCACGTGAAAGTGCTCAGTAAATGCTTGTTGGCTAAAAGACTATGAGTGACAAGTAGTGGTCTCTATTCTGCAGATGAAGGGGTTGGTTTAGGTCAGCCGTATCAAACTCAAATAGAAAGAGAGCCCACTAGACTATAGATAAGGATCCTGCAGGTCCAATATTGACTTAGAAAATCACGTATTAACATTATCTATATTCCATTGCATTTTTATTTATTTTGTTAAATATTTCCCAATTACATTTTAATCTGGTTCTGGTTGTAGGCAGCATGTTTGACACATCTGGTTTTGATGACCTCTGAGGTCCCTTTCAATTCTAACCCTAGGATCCTATGAATTAAGGACAGATACTACCATTTATTGTATGGATGGATAAATGGAGTCAGAGCATAATTAAATAACCACCTGGGGCCTGACTGCCTTATTTGGCTTCACAGTTCATGTTAAACCAAAGACCTGGATTTGAGGATTTATGGGTAAATGGTACTTGGAAAGCTACTACAAACATAAGCTTTATTATTATGCAGCATAACAAGGAGGGAGCAAAAAAAAAAAAGGTGTACACACACACACACACACACACACACGCCACACCATCTAACAGTACAGACAGAAGGAGATTCAGCCCCACAGATGCAAAGAAACTCACCCAGCTAAAGGGGGCTGGAGACATACACATGACAAGATCTCAGGTAAATTCAGCCTCAGAGTAGGGGTCCGAAAGGGAAGTTTAATACCCCCAAAATGACCTGAGTTGAGAACAAGTAATCAATACCAAATGTGGGAATGGAATTCCTAATCAGATCCAGATGGGTTGGGGAAATTCCCAGGGTCACTTATCAATACCAGGCTCTGGTAGGAGAGTTTCCTTATCAAGACCAGAAATTGGGTGAGGGTCTGAGTTGTCTGTCTGAGGCAGCAGGAAAAGAGTGAGTCACAGGCTGCTGCAATCAGCCTGGAGTCTTATCCAATCAGAAGCTGTGATCATTAATTGCTTGACACAGAATTAGAATGAGTCAGAACAGAGGAAAAGTACAACCTGTTTGTTATTGCTTATATTTTATGAGCATTAGGACCACTTAGCCTAAGTGACTCCATATTGAAATCCAAGTATAACTACAATATCAAACAATACATCTGAAAAATCTCAATTATCACACTAACATTAGGACACTTGTTAAGAGCCATCTTTTGAAGTCTATCTATGTACATCAAGCATGACATAATGATGTCATTTCAGTCCTCTTCAAGTACAAAGGACAACAACCAACCTTACCTCCATCTTACAGTTACTCACCAGTAAAAGTTATTTGAATCTCCTTTATCTTTTCCCAAAACACTATAACATAGCAGCATTATTATTTAATTAATCAAACAACAAACATTCATTAAATGCCTACTATGTACCAGACACTATGCTGGGTAGTAGGAATGCAAAGACCAAAAAAAAGAAAAGAAAAGAAAAGAAATGGTCTTGAGGGAGAGGAAATGAAATTCTCTTAGGGGAGATACCATGGACATAAATAATTTTATACAAAATTTGGGGGGTGGGGAGTGAACAAGCAAAAATGTTTTCATGTGATGCTTGACTAGAACTTGGGGAAGGGTGGAATGTGGGATTCTAAAAGCTCAGTTTTGAAAGAAATAAGAAAAAAACTAAAAGGTGGATGTGAGGGGACAGAGTATTCTAGGGATGTGGAACAGCCAGTGCATAGGTGGCAAAATGGGAAATAAATCTTTGGGGATGGTGGTGGTGGGTAATAAAAATTATAGAAATGTTGTCATTGTGTCTCTGTGATTCACTCTGTGTGTATACGTTTTGTTTTTTCCTAGTGACGGTACTGGCTATTTTCCATGAACTACATGTTGATACTGATCTGTACACACTGCTTTTTGGGGAGAGTGTGTTGAATGATGCCGTGGCCATAGTTCTCACATAGTAAGTACAAACATCTGGATTCCTTTGAACAAAAATGAAAATAGTTAGCCCATTCAGACACAATCCCATACATTATACATTCATACATACATATATATATATGCATATATATAGTTGATGTTTTTTGTAGTGGTAAACTGAAACTATAATTTTTATTTCTGCTAGAATGAGGGATGGAAGAACTCCTAGGGTGTGAATATTTCACAGTTTTAGTAACACATATGTAATTTATAGTTTTCAAGCATTTTCTGGGTCTGAGTGACCATGGTGAAAAGATTAGTATGCATCAGAGGTCTGAACCCAGGTTTTCCTGACCATAAAGCTGGCCTCTATCCACTGTGCTATATTGCTTTTCTATTTCTTATTTGTTACAAAAACACAAGTAAGTTCTAGTTTTAAGGTGATATTTAAAGAGAAAAAGCATCAATAATAAACATAGTTTGTTAAGCATTTAATTTCCAGTACTACTATATCAGATTCACTAGGTTTGGGTCCCACTCCAGCATTTTTAAAGAGAATAACATCTCAAAGGGTGTATTTTCCTGACTTTTCCTCCTATCTATTTTGTCTATTTCCTGTATATGGTAAGTTTGGCAAATTTGAGCCTGTACTTAAGGATCAGGAGAGTTTGAATTTTTTTTTTACTCTCTTCCTGAATGTTGGGTATTGTGGGCATATGTAAATCCATCTCATTATAAGTAACATTGACTGAGGATCTTCTCATCCCTCATATAATTTCCCCATCATCCCCAGACTCAATTTTATTTTTCTTGAAAACTTTTAGATGCCAATTAGTCTGCTATCTTTCCAGCCTCTCCCCCTTTAATCTAGACATTTAGCACTTATATTTAACAAATGGCAATTTGGTGACCTTTCCTCAAGTCAAAGGTCTTCTCTCTGGCTTTAAATGAGCACCAACATTTCAGCCAGCTGTCAAATATCCCAAGGGAAAGTAGCCATCTGATAATTAAATGTGGCCATACTACTATATTCAGGATGTTAATTACTTTCAATCTATTTGAGATATGTTGTGATGTATCAAAGGGTATTTAAAAGTCAGTGCTCACTGGTGAAAGACAGTATGATCATAAAGTACAATCTTCTTCCTGCCCAATGGATTCTTGATATAGATGTGGCCCCAATGTGAACATTTTCTGAGTCTCTTTATCAAATCTCATGAGACTTGCTCATCAGCCATAAGAGTTCTTTATTCTTGGCACCAGAGGCAAATATCAATGAGAACAAATTAATAATATAAATGAAATCTAAATCACAGAAGCACAAGTATTAAATATTTTCAACACATAATTCAAGAGAAATAATGAGACTATCAGAAACAACTGTCTGAGAATGCCTTCCATTAGTATGGTCATGGAAGTAAAAATATGCTGAGTTTCTCATTTTTACTCTCTGAATTGGCAAGTTATATATTTTGCTTTAAAGGTCAAGTGAAATAGTACCACTGAACTGCAAGTGACCTTCAGAAAATGTAGGAAGGCACCAAATCAGTGAGTGATTGGCATTTTCCCTTTTATCATGCACACCAATCACAATGGTTTGCTATCATGAAGATGGAAATCTAAGAAAAAATATGGGTGCCAACAAGCATAAAGCCTGGTGTCATTTTTAAAGTTTCTTCATAACTTTCCCCTTAGTTAACCACAATGTAGCCTTGCTCTCTCTCCCTCTTCCTCTTCTCTGCACATATTTTTCAATCATAAAATCAGAACATAGGGGAAAAATGTCTCATTTCCTGACACGGCAAATTTGCTGATGTACTTGAAAAGAGTGTTTTTGAGTGTTGATAATCACCTACGGTTCAGAAGCTATGCAGTGTTGGAGCAACCCTAGCCCAGATGAGAATTTATAATATAGACATTTCCTGAAGTATGAACACTTGACCTTCAAATCTGCATAGATGCAAATGGATCTTTGCCTGTCTCTCTCTTCAACCATCCTGAAACAACTCATCTCAACCTTCTTTCTCTCATCCTAGACAACAAAGCTGTCCTAGCCCAGTGGGGTCATCTGCTGGTTGGAACAGTGAACTTTCAGACCCTCTCACCACTTCATTTCTTCTCTATCAAAGGTCACAGTATCATAGGATTGTAAATTTAGTACTAGAAGGGTGCTTAGAAGCCTTTGAGTTCAACCCTTACATTTTGCTGATGAGAAATGAAGGCACAGAGTGATTTGCCCATGGCCACAGACCTAGTAAGCACCTGAAGCAAGATTGAACTCAGCTATGTCTGACTCTGAGTCTATCTGTCTGTACACTACTAGTCTACTCATGATGAAGATCTATCCCTTTAATTTTTCATAACTCATAACTACAACAGATAATCAGATATATGTTAAGAAGTCCCCTTTAATTTCTTTGTACTCTGAATTGCCCTTTTACCAAAGTAAGGTCTTTCCCACTCTTGGCTCTATTTACGACCCCTAAAATGATCCTAATCATAATGTCTCAGCACAATAGATGTGCTTAGGGTAAGGAAATTCATAAATAGGAGGCAGTGTGAAACACAGGAAAGAGGGCTAGGGAGTCAGAGAACCAGGGTTCAAATCCTGATTCTGATGCATAATTCCTATGTGACCTCAGCAAGTGACATCACCTCTCTAGATATCATTTATAAAGTGAAAGATTGTACTAGATGACCTCTAAGATTTTAATATAGGATCCTAATTTTTGAAATGTAATCAAAATATTTAAAAACTACACCATCAACCTCTAAAGCCCTTGAAAATACCCATAAATCCCATTCAGAATCTTTTCAGAAGTTTCTTTCATCTAATTAATCCTATTTTTCTTTCTTATGATCTTCAGAAAAAAGAAAACAATTTTTTTTGCTGAATTGTATTTGTTTTGTTAATTACTAATATTACAATAATCTTTTTTCTCCTATTTTTCATTACAAACAAACAATAGTCCAGTTCTATTATATATTAAATAGGTATTTGCAGGCTGGCCTGTAAGTTCATATATTATTTAAACATTGTTTCTTGGGAAAAAATAATGTGTTCCAGGTTTCAAACATCTGACTTTAATGAACGTTAACACAACCCATTTGTAAATAGGAGGCTTCCTTTACTTTAAAATTCCCATGGAATCTTTCCTGTCTGGGGCTAAGTAAAGATAACTTGATGACATCTTTTGATCTGTGTGCTCAGCTTGGCATGTTGAATAATTCTATTTAAGCATGCTTAGGCATGTACCATACATTACCCACAATTACTCTTTTTGATTTCAAGGATTTAGGGAGTACTATACGAAAAGCATGTATTTTTGTATATTGGTATATTTGGGGAACAAAAATGTAAGTATTAAATGTATAGTTGATTCACAAGTGCAAAGGTTATTTATTTGGTCACACTGAAGGAGAAAAAGGAGCAATAAGAAGATCTGTAGAACCATGTTTTTATAATCTGAAGCAAATAAATGAATATAGAAATCTAAGTTAGTTTTGTATTTCAACTATACAGATTTTTATTGATTTTCATAAATCCATGAAGATAGAATTTGTCCCTATAACAATTGCCTTTACCAACACAGTACTTTGTATGCAGTCAACATTTAATAAGCCTTTGTTGAAAGTTGACTCTAAATGGCCTAGAGAAGGATGGCTTTGTATAGACCACCCCTATGGAAAAGAATCCACCCCCACGGTAAAATGTTTTGGAATGAATTCCCAAATTATATACCTGAGAATAGATAAAATAAAGCCCCAAACTTTCCTCTTAGTTAATTAGTAGATTGCAAAAAAGTCCTGATGTATGATTGTCTTCTGTATTGCTATGAGATTCAGTTCCCTACTTTTTTTTTATAATTATCAATTATTGCAACCTTGCTTTCTTGTTCAGCAAGAGTATGATGAATTCTTTGCCACTTTATCTAAAAATGTTGGTGTATACAACACTGAAACAAACCTCCATTTATCAGGAGAAGGAAGAATTTCACAGTACTGTATGTAAATGCCTCCAGATTTCTATAGGGACAAAAGAGGGCTCTTATTAAACAGCTGGCTCTTGAATAACAATAAACTTACTATAGATGTACTTATTTCCTGTTAGGCAAGGACTTAAAAGGAAATTCAGTGTAAATCATTTTCTTTTGGGAAAAAAGGCAAATAGATCTTCAGTTTTATCTCTTTAGATAAAAATATTGTACAGCTGCCTAGAAGTTGTTACTACAAAATATCCTTTAAAGTGTGGTATTGATACCTGCTTGATTCTCAGAGAAAATAGCTTCTTGAAAGCAAACATTTCTAAGGACTTATATGCCTTAAGGAAAATTCAGTACAAGAGCCAAATAAGACAGACCTATGGAATCATAAGGTTCAAAAGAATCTCAAGGGGTCATTTAACCTCCATGTAGTGCGTTGAAGTCTAACAGAAAACAAAATAGTGTAAAACCATGAAAGGAATAATCATTTTTGGTAGTTTGACTTTATATTATCCCCTAGATTTAAAGTTCCCTGAGGTCAGGAAGCATGTGCTATACTTCTTTAAATCCTCTAATGCTTTTAGAATATGTAAACAATAAATGTGTTAGATGAGTAAATGAGAAGACAAATGAAAGAATAAATATTACTGAAAGTAGGGTCTTGCTAGTAAAAGCACCAGACTTGGAGTCAAAAAACCTAATTCTAAGTTCTGACTCCATCTATTATTAGTGTAATCTTCGGTTGAGTCTTTAAAATTCCATGAACCTCTTTCTCCATATTTGTAAAATGAGAATAATAACATTTGTGCTACCTACTTCAAAGGGTTGTTGTGCAAAGCAAATTCAATAATGTATGTTCATTATGCAGATGTAGGCTATTGCCACTTTAATAACAATGTTATTCATTTCATCTCTTTTGATGGAATTCAGAAAGAAATGGTCCTGGGACAAGTCGATATATTGCTGTGATTATTTTATATTTTATATTTTACATTAGTATTGCTTTGCATTTAGTATTCTGTTGATTGTTGTAAAGGTAGATAAAATAATTGCTCTT